AATTTTACATTTAATATTCTGGATATACCTATTACCTACAGACGAATACCAATCTCGACAATACTGCGCATTTACTTCATTACATCGGCTGTTAACCATTCATTGAAGCTGTCTCCAGTTATTTGTGTTTGCATAAAAATATTTCCAGAACCAAGAAGTGGTAAATTAATGTTTAATGGTTTATTGGTAAAAAATTAATGGTTGTTTAATCATTGATTAGAGCTTGTATTATATATGTGTTTAAATTTAAGGAAGACAGAAATGAGTAAAAAATATCGGTTATTTTAACCAGACCTAAGTCGAAGCAAGTATAATATAATTTATTTTTATTACAAAGCGATCTGATTAAATTTATATACAAAATACTTATTACTTTACCTATACGGAACGCTGCGATTTTAAACACTCCACCGCAATACTTGTTTGCGTCACCTGAGCATTGAGCAGAACACTTGTTRTCGTCGACTCGTACCGCACCGTCATCCGCCGGATGGCTGTTTCCGCAAAAACACGATTCCCTGTTRGATAGTTGGAAATATTCGTAGCCCGCTCTGTCACAGTGCTTGGAGCAGATTCTCGGCGTGTTGACGTACGGAAATTCGATGGACTGGTTTTTCTTGAACGCTCTGTACACGTCTGTCTCCTCGTAACAGCCCAGGTAATGGTCACTRGCCACCCTGGATGTTTTCAGGCCAGTTGAAAACACGTTGTAGTGGGTACGATCGCCGCACACACTTTCTGTACCACCCGAACACGGGRCATTGCAATGAGGTCCTCCCGCTTTGACTTTGGCTTCGACTGGTGGACTGTCAAAACTGCACATACACTTCGTCCTGATCGCGTATATAACATATCGATCGCAGACGTAGCGGATCACATCAAATAATTATTACCATATAACACAATATTAGTGCATACACATGTATATATAGTACCTAGATAGTCAGTGCCGTACGTAGCGGTAGAGTTCTAAGGATCTAACATCTAACCCCCTCCAAAAATTGTTCTAATTTTTTCCTTTTAAATAAAATCTCATTAACCATATTATAATCAATAGGTACACAGAGTAGATTATTGTTAGTCATTTTTTATAGTTATAAAATAAATTGTAAAATGGCAATAACATGGATAACCTGCATATAATTTCAATTTTATTTCGGCTTATATTAAGAACATTTTTAAATGTCTACCTTGATCGTCATATCATAAATCATTTATCTTCAATTATAACCACGTGTATTACGACTTGAAGCAGTGGAGTACTTACGGAGGGGATACGGGGAATAGAYCCCCCTGGTCTCTTATTTATTATTTATTTATAATATTGTGATGTTATAAAATGATGTCCTGAAGAGTCTYTGTAGACGGTCAGGTTAAATTCTCTAAACGTATAAACTAAAATACCGAATTCTATACTAATTCTATMATTTGTTTTAACCAATTATTTAAAAACTGTTTACCTAACAAAAAATAATGTAAATAGGGATTAACCATTGGTCTACTCAATATAAAGGTAAAACCCTAACCGAATTAAATCTTGCGTACGCTACTGTAGTTAGTATAATAGGTAGTTAAGTAGTAGTTATCAGTACTATTATTATTAGTTATTATTATTATATAATACGTTATTGTATATTTATTACAGCCATGGGCTATATGGGATATTAATTTCTCTTGAATAAAAGCCTTTTTAAACAGGACCAGAGGCATGCTTAGAAATTGCATATTGGTGAGGGGGATTTACCATAAATTTTTCTTTAGTTTAAAGAGCGGGGGAGCTATCTTTTTTAAGAATTATAGTTATCAAGGTGACGAAAAATTATGAATAATCACGCAAAATATAACTTTCTAAAATTACAACAAAATACCTAATATACCAAATTATTATAATAATAGTATACATTTTTCAARAATTTGACAATTTGACATATTAAATCTATAACACGACTATTACGATTTACGAGTATGTCACATGGCAAATATTATATAATAACAATAAAAATAATATTATTATTGAAAAAAATATCCATAGAGACAATTCGAAGAACTCACGAAGACACTAGTGCTACAAATGGAAACCCTCGGGTGAAACAACTAGACGCACATTTTTGTGAGTTCAATTCAGTAGGAAATGATATATTCCATCCATCCATCACTGGATACATCCAAGAGTTTTCGAAGCATCCAAAATGAGTATTTGATAGATTTCCGGTAACCTTGCCTACATATATAAATACAAAATACAATCACCAATTACGTTTCGTACCTGACTTTATTTTCATAAATTAATTTTAGAGCAATTTGATGCACCTAGCTTACTTAATAAAATTAATTTTCATGTGCCAGGACGTGACAATTGTCATACGTCATATAACTATTGAGTCCTTAAATATGTAGCTGACTACCAAAGAAATAATCTACTTACCCGGGTTAAGCATATGCGGGTGGATAAATAAGAATCTTTTTTTACTCTAGTGGTTTTACATTTTTACTAATTAGTATTACCTGTATAATTTCATTTTATATCCATTTTAACATTATTATAAATATTATATTTTATTATTTTTACATTTTGTTTGTAATTTTGTAACTCGTTTCTCATTTTTATATTATACCTATAAGCATTATTATTATTTGTATCAAATTATTTTAATCATTATTTATTTTTAAGTCACTGTAATTAAGATACAGCTTGTAAAGTTGTACTCTATGACTCCCGTATAYACAATGAGTAAGTCATTGTAATAAAGGAGTGTATAAAGGCCGGGCGGATTAAGGCGTCGGCTGCGACGCGCTCCATCACCGGTTCGAATCCCAGTCACGGGTGGCATCGCTTTCTGGGCAGTTCACGCTATCTAGAAAGAGAAGCCCCCCCCCCACCAGGGGGATGACAGAAACCTACGGGTGCCCACTAGAAATTCTGCCAAATATGCGTCCGAACTAGGCCTTCGTGCCTATACTCCCGGACATAGCGCCATACGAAAAAAAAGGTGTAATGAACCTATGTAATAAATTTGAATTCAATGGAATTTTGGACTTTTTCTTTTAAACAAGCTTATTGTGTGCTATAGTGGACTCCTATAGTCCTATAGATAATCAAACCATATTTAATAATTGGGCGAATCAAAAAAAAAAAAAAAAAAAAAAAAAACTATAAAGAGACCTAATCGCTTTTTATGTTTTAAACTAGAAGCTGTTTTCATTAAAAAAAAAAACCAAGTATTTGAAAAGGTCTGCATCATATTATATACCTAACACGAGGCCGTGGATCAATAATTAACAATTAAATTGAATATGAAATTAACAAACCAAACCAATCATTTTCATAGATACTAATTCGATCGGGACCACCACAATATTCCGATTCGTCTCCGGGACATTTTCTACACTCTTCTGGCTGTTTCCGTTCGTCTGCACTTGATATTTCGTCACTGCACTCACAATRATCCCTAAATCGATTATATTATATGCACGTATATACGTATATTATAAGTAATGTTACATTTAATGTAGATAGTCAAAAACTAACGATGGTGTACAGCGTGTTCACCGATTYAGGGAATACTGAATTTCTCGGCCGGATTTGTTTGGAATAAATCGATTTTTTTTCACAAACTGGTGGTATATGAATACACATTTTTCGATATATTTGAAAATTTTTTTTTTAATTGCAACACCTATTTTTAACACCTAACCTATTTTTTAAAAGTAATTTTCATGTATCAACTATGTCTCTAAGTTCAATATTGACTGAATAAGAGCCATATCAATTTTATTAAATAATAATACATTTTTAAACATTTATAATTAATTTTTATTGATTACTTTTTGAATATTTGTACGTATTGTTATTTTTAGAAATGTTATGAACAATACTAACATAATATGAATACAAAATTATTTATTAAAAATCGACTTAGGTACAACTGGTACTGGYGAACAATAGTTATTTTATAATAATTACACAATAAATTAAATAAATTGTTCAAAGTTTGCTCTCTATTTTCAGCACGACGGAGCTCCTGCTCATAATGCTCATATTATTAGAGATCATTTAAATCGGGTATATGAGGGGAAATGGTTTGGCACTTATGGCCCCATTGAATGGCCAGCAAGATCTCCAGATATTATACTCCACTAGATTTTTTTTTTATAAGTTTCTACTGCGTATTCGCAGACTTAATTCTCAAAAAATGTTGAAATGTATCGAAAAATGTGTATTCATATACCACCAGTTAGTAACAAAAAATCGATTTATTCCAAACAAATCCGGCCGAGAAATTCAGWGTTCCCTAAATCGGTGAACACACTGTATATTTGTATATATGATATATGATATTAAACAAAAAATAAAATATATGTACTCGTTGACTCCCGCGTATTTATATCCTCTCTCGTTGCAAATATAAAAACACCTGTTCGAATCAATGGTTTCCTTTAAAATGTATATTTTTTTGTCRTACCGAGTGAATCCTTCTAAATTGTAACATCCGACCRAATTTCGTAGTGGATAATCTGTTTGCAATATAAAATAAATAATAATTATAATGTATTTATGCATATGCAGTGGGAACTAAAAATTAAAAAATCCTAGTATATAGATAATATAGGTTTATAAAAATTTTAGTATTATTTTCTAACCAACGATTCCAGTAGAATAAACGCTCAGTCTCCACAAACCACCACAGTTTTTCGACGTGTCACCCGAACAGATGGCATTACATTTTGCGTCGCTTATTTTGAATTTTTCTGAGGGATATTGATTACCACACCAACAAGCAGCTCTGAAAAAAAAAAAATTAAAATCAACATAATAATTTGCAGTATATACGTTCAGCATTAGATTTAGAGCAATTATGTCAAGTCGAAAACTAGGTAGTTATAAAGCAATTTGGTCGTCTTTCCATTTGAAAGCTTTGAAAACGCACATGAAGTTAATTAATTTTAGAAAACCTACACTCAAATCTATTCTTCCACGATACTATTTTCTATTATTTAAATCCTATTTAGAAAACAGACATTTTTCCGTTTGATCTGTTTTCTCCTTATCTGCATAAGTATCACCAATCCACGCAAGGGTACCTCAAGGATTTGTAATAGCACCTCTACTCTTCAATCTATTCACCTCAGATCAACCTACGGTAGGTAAAATCCTAGCCTAACATTCTAACCTTAAGTGCCTCCAATGAGTGGCTTCTTATCTCCTGACACTCAAGCCATGTTACCTCCATCACATACGCTTATTGTAAAATAATATTTTTAGATTGTRTATATAATAATAATAATATATGATAAAAAAAAAACCTACACATTTTTCCAATAATACTTTAGATAGTGATATAATTATTTGTTGAGACATTTGGTAATAAATAAGTACATAAAAATAAAAATTTTTGTACATAAAGTACTGATTAATTTATTAGAAATGTGGGCGTTTTTCTGGGTCTGTGAACCATAATATTAT